AGAGAGAGAGAGAGAGAGAGAGAGAGAGAGCACATTCTCTTTAATCTTCATTAGTGGCAAATCTTTGTTCTGGGGTGGATCGGATTTTTTGAAACAGCCAAAAGTTATTTAGAACCAACTGCTGTGAATTAAGAAAACTGAGCTGATTTCCCTCATGTGGATCATATGCTGACTCTGACAGTAATTTTAACAGAAGAAATCCAAAAGGGGTTCTAAGAAAGGCCCTGGGCAGTGTCTTCCATAGTGATTAAATAGAGGGCAGATCACTCGAGGTTAGGAGTTCGAGATCAGCCTGGCCAACACAGTGAAGCCCTGTCTCTACGAAACACACACACACACACACACACACACACACACACACACACATTAGCTGGGTGCAGTGGCAAGTGCCTGTAACACTAGCTACTCAGGAGGCTGAGGCTTGAGAGTAGCTACATGTCAGATGTTTCAAACAGTTTTATCTCAGTGGCACACTTTGCAGCATTTACAAAGCCCAGGTAATTCTAATTTCCCAGCTCTAAACACCCTCAAGTGCTATGTAGATCTATGTAAGATTAGCTGCCTGGCTGGTTTTTGTTTCATTTGTTTTTTTGAGACAGTTTTGTTCTTGTTGCCCAGGCTGGAGTGCAATGGCACAATCTCAGCTCACCGCCACCTCTGCCTCCCGGGTTCAAGCGATTCTCCTGCCTCAGCCTCCCAAGTAGCTGGAATTACAGGCATGTGCTACCACGCCCAGCTAATTTTTGTATTTTTAGTAGACAAGGGGTTTCTCCATGTTGGTCAGGGGGGTCTCAAACTCCTGACCTCAGGTGATCCCCCTGCTGGGGCTCCCAAAGTGCTGGGATTACAGGTGTGAGCCACCGCCCTCCGCCCTGGCTGTGTTTGAATTTGAAGATGTTGCTGTTGCTGATAGAGGTTGTCATATAGGCCTGGCTTTGAAAAGACTCTGAGACACAAATATTCTCTTCAACTTGTGCCAAGGCCAGCTGTTCTTTAGCTCAAGGATAAAGCAGAGGTACCACCAAGCCTGGTACTTAACCCCGTAAGTCAGACACTTCATACTGCATAGATGTCCAACTACTCCCAGGTCCCCATGTCTGATACCAAAGACTAAAGCCAGTCACCCAACAATCATTTCCCCCAAGATTCATACTTACCAAATGTGTAACACTCATGGGTATCACGAGATGGTTAAGTATTCTAGCAGAGTAATTTCCTATTCTTCCAGGTGATTATTTCTGCTTGACCTTCTTTTGAACATTTCAAGAGCTCTACTTTTGTTTTAATTTCAAGGAAACTGGTTGGGTGCACTGGCTCATGCTTGTAATCTCAGTGTTTTAGGAATCTGAGGCAGGAGGATCACTTGAGGCATAGGAGTTCCAGACTTGGTCTCTACAAAAATTTTAAAAATCTAAAAATTAGCCAGGTGTGGTGGCATGCACCTGTAGTCCTAGCTACTCAGCAGGCTGAGGTGGGAGGTGGGAGGATCGCTTGAGCCAGGAGGTTGAGGCTACAGTGAGCTACGATTATGCTACTGCACTCCATCCTGGGCAACAGAGTCAGACCCTGTCTCAAAAAGAATTTTCTTTTCAAGGAAACAGGCTACTTTCAAGCTGTATTAATCTGAAAATGAGGCCACTTAGAGAAAGACAATCATGTGCAGAAAAAGGACAAGCACCCTGCTGGGGCAGATAGACCCCTCTCTAGCTCCCACCCAGAAGGGATGTCTCAGGCTTTGCTACCTCTTCTTTTCCCTTGGCCAGAAGAAGTCACCTGAGCAGGGGAGCTCAAGAGGGGAACTTGGATGTGAAAAGAAAACCTTTCCTCTGTATGACTGGAAGCAGGCCTTCTCTCCTCCAAACAAATTCTGGATGAAATAAAGAGAAATAAAGGAAGTATATATATATACTTTTATATATATATATATATACTTTTATATATATATATACTTTTATATATATATATATATATATATACTTTTATATATATATATGTGTGTGTGTGTGTGTGTGTGTGTGAAATATTTTTTTCCAAATTTCTAGCTGGACAAATCTCTTTAAGCTTAAATTACACAGAAGAAAATAGCAGGGAAAAGACAACATAAACATTTTTTAAATCTTTATGATTTATTTTAAGATATTCTATATTTACAATGGGCAAGAAAAGAGGAGATAAAATACATAAATGTATTTTGCTTTTCATCTTTAAGCAGAATTTTAAGTTGTTGGAATATCCATCACATATATAAGTGTGCATCTGTATACTTATGCATTATGAATAATATATAGTAAATTAAAATTTACATGCAGTGAAGCACACAGATGTATCTCGAATATACAATTCAATGGATTTGGACAAGTGTATACACTCACATAACCACCACCCAGACAAAATATATTCTATCACCCAGAAAGTTTCCCAGTATTCCCTTTCAGTTAATCTTTATCCTCCCAGAGGAAACCACTATTCTGATTTCTATCTTATAATTTTGCCTGTTCTTAAACTTCATATAAATGAAACCATACAGTGGATGCTCTTTTGTGATCATCTTTTTTATATATATTTTTTATTTTATTTATTGTTTTTTGAGACAGAGTCTCGCTCTGTTGCCCAGGCTGGAGTGCAGTGGCACAATCTTGGCTCACTGCATCCGCCGCCTCCCAGGTTCAAGCAATTCTCCTTTTTCAGTCTCCCAAGTAGCTGGGACTACAGGTGCCCACCACCATGCCTGGCAAATTTTTTTTTTTTTTTTTTTTTTGCATTTTTAGTAGAGACGAGGTTTTATCGTGTTATCCCGGATGGTCTTGATCTCCTGACCATGTGATCTGCCCACCTCTGCCTCCCAAAGTGCTGAGATTACAGGTGTGAGCCACCACGCCCAGCCTATATTTTTAATTTTTTAGACAGGGTCTTGCTTTGTCACCAGTGATCACAGCTCACTGTAAACTTGAACAACTGGGCTCAAGTGATCCTACTACCTCTGTGTCCTGAGTAGCTGGGACCACAGGTGCATGCCACCACATCAGCTTAATTTTCTTCTTAATTATTATTATTTTGAAATGGAGTCTCATCCTGCTTTGTCGCCCAGGCTGGAGTGCAATGGTGCAGTTTTGGCTCACTGCAACCTCCGCCTCCTGGGTTCAAGCAATTCCCCTGCCTCAGCCTCCTGAGTAGCTGGAATTACAGGCACCTGGCACCACACCCAGCTAATTTTTGTATTTTTAGTAGAGACGCCATTTCACCATGTTGGCCAGGCTGGTCTCAAACTCCTGACCTCAAGGGATCAGCCCTTGGGATCAGCACTTGGGAGGCCTCAAGGGATCAGCACTTTGGAGGCTGAGGCTTCCCAAAGTGCTGGGATTACAGGTGTGAGCCAGCATGCCTGGCCTACTTTTCCATTTTTAATGTTATCTTTAGCACTTTTTTTTGTGACTGCTCTGAGAAAACGTGTCCTATTTCAAAGTTATGAGAATATTCATCTAAGTTTGTTCTGAAGCTTTCCAGTGTTAGCATTTAGATTTATGAAATAGGGGCAGGTTTACTTTTTCCCATACATTGATTCAATAGTTCCAGCACTATATTTGTTAATAAAACCTCTTTTCCCTATTGAATTATCTTTGTCAAAAATCAAGTGACCATCTATCTATGGACCCTCTACTCTTTTCTATTGATCCATTTGCCTATATGCCAATTCCATACTATCTTGATTACCATACCTTTGCAGTAATCTTAAAATCAGGTTCTATGAGTCCACCAACTGTTCTATGTCAAGACTGGTTTGGCTAATATTTTGTTAAAGATTTATATGTCCATGTTCATGAGGAAAATGGTATGTAATTTTCTTTTCTTCTGGCATCTTTGTCCTATGTTGATTTCAGGATAGTTTTTTGCTGCTCTCATCAAACAAATTGGAAACTATTCTCTCCTCATTTGCTTTCTGAGTTTGTGTAAGATTAACATTATTGATTTTTCCTTAAATGTTTTAAAGAATTTACCAGTGGAACCACCTGGCCTGAAGTTTTATCTGTGGGAAGGTTTTAAATTAGGAAGTCAATATATGTAATAGGCAATGCTTATTAAAAGGGACAATTTAGATTGTGTATTTACTCTTGTGTCAGTTTTGATGATTTGTATTTTTCAAGGAATTTTCTCATTTCATCTAGGTTATTGAATTTAATGGCATGCCATTATTTATAATATTCATTTTTTATCTTTTTAACATCTGTAGGATCTATGATATCCCCTCTTTCATTCTAATATTGATAACTGATATTTTCTCTTTTTCTTCATAATTGGTCTTATTAGAGTTTATCAATTTTATTAATCTTTTCAGAGAACTAACTTGGATTTGTTAATTCATCATATGTATTGTGTTAATTTCTGTTCTTTATTATTTCCTTTCTGCTACTTATTATGGGATTACTTTGCTTTTCTAGTTCTTGAGGTGAAATTTGGATCATCATTTAAAAAATGTTCTTCTTTTGGCTGGGCATGGTAGCTCATGCCTGTAATCCCAACACTTTGGGAGATGGAGGTGGGCAGATCACCTGAGGTTGGGAGTTCGAGACCAGTCTGACCAACATGGAGAATCCCTGTCTCTACTAAAAATACAAAATTAGCCAGGCATTGTGGTGCATGCCTGTAATCCCAGCTACTCGGGACGCTGAGGCAGGAGACTCGCTTGAACCCTCGAGGCAGAAGTTGCGGTGAGCCCATATCAGGCCATTGCACTCCAGCCTGGGCAAGAAAAGCGAAACTCTGTCTCAAAAATAAAATAAAATAAAATAAAATAAAATAAAATAAAATAAAATAAAATAAAACGTTCTTCTTTTATAACACTGTGTAAGCACTTAGTACTATAAATTTTACTCTAAGCACTGCTTTAGCTGCAGTGCTTAAATTTGCTATGGATTTTCACTCAGTTTGAAATATTTTCTAATTTCTCTTGTGGTTTCCTTCTTGTTCTATGGATGCTGTCTAATTTTCAAATATGTGGGGCTTTTCTAGTTATCCTAGTATTGATTTCATAAGAGCTAATTGTTGTCATAAGAAAATATACTCTGTAAGATTAAAATTTATTCCTGTAATCCCAGCACTTTGGGAGGTGGACCACCTGAGGTCAGGAGTTCAAGACCAGCCTGGCCAACATGGTGAAAATCTATCTCTATTAAAAATACAAAAATTAGCCAAGCATGGTGATGGGCACCTGTAGTTCCAGCTGCTTGGGAGGCTGAGGCAGGAGAACCACTTGAACCTGGGAGGCGGAGGTTGCAGTAAGCCAAGATCATGCCATTACAATCTAGCCTAGGTGATAGAGGGAGACTTCATCTTTAAAGGGAGGGAGGAAGGAAGATAACAATG